GTGATGCCAAATACACTGGCATAGACCCAGGCATCAGAACAGGTGGTGCCATTGAAGGTGGTGAGTGATAGGGCTTTAAACTGTAGCATGGCTTCTGTTTTACTTAAGACAAGTCATAGTTTTTTCTAGGAAGCGAAAAAGAAACAAAGAGAACCTTTAGTCAGAAGGTAATAGGAAGAAGAGTAGACAGCAAAGACTTGGGGAAGAGATAAAACTTATATAGGCCTGAAGTGAAGACAAATGAAGGAGGGAACTTGAGGGATTTCCTCACAGGTCTGCTTGGGGACTTAAGACACTTTGGTTTTTTGGAATGAAATACAACAGGATGTCACTTCATCAGTCGTGTTACAGGTTGTGTTACCCAGCCTACAGTAAGAAATAAACATGTAATAGATGTGACTCAGGAATTCTGAACTGTAAATGCAGCAGACTATAATGTACTCTCCTTTTATCTTTTATAGTTTAGGAAGGCCAGTGTAACAAACTGTTCTTTGTGTGGTTGTGTTTTGTTTTGGGGTTCTCTTTAGTTCTGTGAAAATTCTGTTACAGCATATATTAAATTATTTATAACATGCAGCAAAATAATTTTTCCCATAATTATCAAGTTGTGGAAGTGAAGCACCTAAGAGATTTCTGCATGCATGTGAAATACTTGGCACCTAATATTTTTCTGAGAAGTAACATCATGATACATTTAGTATTAGACTAATTAGTCTATTAGCAATAGGACTAGATCTCTTTAGTACTGGACTGTATAACAAGATATGACATACTCGCATACATCAGCTCAATTAAAAGTTGCATGGAATGGAAGAAACTGTGACATGACCCTTGAAGGAATATTAAAACATCTTATTAAAGAAAGCTTATATTGAGGTTTAGTTTCAAAGCTGGCAGCAATAACTATAGAATCATACAATCTTTTATTTTGGAAGGAACCTCTGGAGGTCACCCCTTGCCCAAGTGTGGTCAATTAGAGCAGGTTTTTTAGAACCTTGTCCAGTCAAGTTTTGAGTATCTTCAGGGCTGGACTTTTCACAGCCTCTCTAGGCCAATGTTTAACTACCCTCTGTTCTTCAGCTCCAGGGTCCTCTATTTGCACATAATTCCTGTGGAAGACGTGGGCGCTCTAGATGTGCGTGCACCTATGCTGTTCCCTACAATGAGTGCACCTCACAAGCTTGCATTCATGCACCAAAGGTGTGGGTTCTCCTCCCTTGCTGCACCCTGTGCTGACCACCTGCTAGCTGGAGTGCAGGACCTTGCATAATCCAGGAGGGATGCTGCACTGTCTGGCCTGGACAGATACCATGATGCGCTCAGCGGGGTGACTTCTGGCAGCAAACCAGGTTTTGACTGCTGCTGCTTCCTCTCCAAGGCCTCTCCCATTGGTACAGCTTTTCATATTTTTTTATACTCCTTTTCAAGAGGACTCCTTTATTTCAAACACTTCTTTGTCATTCTCTAGTTACTGTTTAATCTAACTGATGATCTTCTTGCTCTTCAACATGACCAGTTTGGGGCAAATATCCTCTCAGACGATTTTGCATTTTTGATTAACACACACACAAATTCCTATTGTCACATTTGTTATTATCCAGACCTTTTTGCCAAGGTGGGCCTTGCAAGCATCCCCCACTATGTCCCCTGTGTCACTAAGCAGTGGCTCTACAGTTTTCTCAGTCTTTCTTTCGCTCCCAATGTCCTTATAGTAGCCTTTCTTTTTGTCCTTATCAGCCTTTGTTAGTTTTGACTTCAGCTGAGCTTTGGCTTTCCTAACTACTCCTTGTAGGCAGAGGCAACATCTCTGTATACCTTCTAGGTAATCTGTCCCTGCTTCTTTTTTGAGGGTTGGGCTCAGTCAGGAGTGCTGTGCTCATCCTAGGTGAGAAGTGTGGCAGATGGCCGGAAGGGATGCCATGCTTGCCTTCCTCCACAGTGACTTTGGCACAATTATGCTACAGTGAGACTGAGATGAAGTGCTTTCTGCTCGCTTAAACCATCAGCATCTATATTTTTTCTAAATTCATTACTTTATGCATATACATTAGTACTTATTGTCAGTCTGAACATAGCTATATTAAAAATAGCTATAGAACCTATTAAATTCAATTCCCCAAATTGATCTGCCAGCTAAGAGAATCTTACTGAATTAACAAACCGAAGTTAGTTGTCTATTAGAAGGGGTATGTTGTTTAAAGGATGTCCACAAATGCAGTTCAAGTCTATGGTATGTGCAGTTATTTTGCAGTTTTTTCTTACATGGTAAATATTTAGTTAAGAAATACAACCCTTAACATACAAATCAAAATAATTTAATTTCATGCTTAGTGACCTTTTTTAGTAGACAGGTTTGAGTTCTGTTGCTTACATGAACTGATTTATTACAATAATATAATTTCTTGATTTTTCTTTTTCTTTTTTTTGGCTAATATATAACCTTGTGGAAACCTTCTGTAGTAGGGGCGTATTTTATGTGTTGATGCAACTTCTACTTTGGGCCCTATCTGCTTTTCTTAATTGAAGTCAGCCAATAAGAATTACTGAAAAAAGATGCAGATTTTTGGGGACATTTCTTCTGAATATGGGCAGCAACCTGTAGCTCTGAGCTTAAACCTTTGCCATAGAGATCTCCAAACTGCTTTCTGCATGTATATATCTAAATTAATCTGAATACAAAATGTAAGTTTGCTTGTTTTTCACACTGAAAAGACAGACTCTTACCAAATGGATTAACAGTGGCAATACTTGTCCCAGGCCTTATCTCAGTCTCCTTTCACCCTGAGTTTGAGCTCTGCTGTTCTACTTCCAAGACCCATCCCAACCTCTGATAATAGTGAGGCTGGAATCTTGTGTTTACACAAGGTTGTGTTTACAATCTGTTAACACCAGAATTAAAGCCAAAACAAACAACAACAAAAAATCATGTTGTGGGGGAGTAACAAATAAATTGAACCATGAGACACAGGCAGACACTCCCGGCAGGTGAGTCCTGTGTGTTGGTCCAAATGCCTGTATTTTATCCAAACACTCTGCACTGCAAAATGAATGAGGAGCCTGTGGAGGAATGGATGGAATCCAGGGGGGTGCTTGTGTTGACTCTTCCCCATCAGGAGCGTGTTCATTACTAGACGATAGAACTGCATCCTCTCTGTCCCCTTCAGATACTGTGGTTTTATTCCTCTACTACTCATCCACAAACACTGTAAGCTCTCCTTTAAGGTTTTTATGCAATGGAGTTGTTGCGCACCTGCAGTATTGAGTATGTTTAGCTTTGGTCTCAGAATAGCAACTGGAAATGAATAAGATACTGCATAATTGTTGTATCTGTCCTATGCAGGAGCTTTTAAGAAGGGGGACGTCTAGTTTCAAGTCTTTGTTGTCTTTTCTCTCTTCAGCAAATATTCTATTTCCCTCATCTAAGCACATAAAGAATAGTAAAATACCTGCAAAATTTAAAGCAGAATAAAAGACTTCCTGCCTGCAAGGAAAAGAGGACTAGCAGCATAGGGTGATGGGGGGGGAAGAAGTGTAGAAGCTAAAATAAAGAGCTGTGATGCTACTTGATATCTTTGAGTGCCAGAAAGTACCCCAATATATTTTGGCTTTGTGATTGCTGTATAAAAATAATAAAGTAAAAACTGTGCTTGCACAAAAATACCCCTGTGACATTCTTTTATTCCCCCCCCCCCCCCTCATTAAACTGTAAGGAATTCTTGAATGTTTGCTGGTTAGACCCAGTATGAAAGATAGTTCTTGCACCAATTCAGTTTCAAAAGGATAGCCAATAGTAGTTCTCTTCTAGACCTTTTCTATTTGCATGAAGAAAATTTTGTTCTAAATAAGGTGTTTTCCCAAGCCCTGTGTGGGACGCTTATCTCTTTTATATCAAATAGCTGGACTACCACCAAATTCTGATCTGGCATTTGGAAGGACCTGGATGTTTGGAAGTAGGGTTTCTTTACGATATTTGAAAAAACTAAATTAGATAATTTTTTTGAGTAATGTTTTGCTGTATGTGTTATGTTTTGGTTTGGTGGTGATTTTTATATTCTTGCAATTGATAACAGGTTTCTGGAAGAAGACTAATAGGCTACTTTATGTATTATTCTGGGTATATGATGCTAGTATGTTTCTCTCTTCACTTCCCAAATTAGGAATCTTGTTAGGCAAAAATAATGTTTGTTTGTATAGAAATGTCTTTACTTCTACTTCAGTAGAAGACTACAGTTCTTATTCAGTTGCAGCTGAATGAGAACAGCTGCATTAAAATATAAGTAAGTCCCATCTACCTGCTTGGATGCTTTGAAAAGTGTCTGCTGAATCTATCTTTTCTGTTTTGGAGAGAGCTCTAATGATCGTGTAAGTTTAATTCTTGAACCCATTGTTGCCTATAGGTTTTCTTCGCATCCATAAAATTAAATGGATACTGATTTTTAGGAGTTGTGAAAAGTGACAGGGTATATAGGTATCATCATTGAGCTAGTAGCAGTTGACATTTGTGCATAACTTTGAAGCTGTAGGTAAGCTTATGGGTTCTGTTTGGTAGAAAAATGCTGTGTGTGCACCTTGTAGGATGCAGTGGTGTTCTATAAAGCTGTCACAAGATTTTGCGATAAAGTTTTCCCAGAAATACAACTGCTGGATAAATTTGTGCCAGTGGCATGTAGGTTTCTTGAGTATTTACATAGCTAAAGAATTGGAAAATTTATTACATTTTGGGGTGTGGATCACTTGTTTGTTTTTAATTCCAGATCTGAAAACTGAGCTTTTTCCTGTCTGTTTTTGCAAATACAGAACCGGAGAATAAAAATGGGAACTCCTGGATCAGGACGGAAGAGAACTCCAGTGAAAGACAGGTTTTCTGCAGAAGATGAAGCTCTGAGTAGCATTGCCAGAGAGGTTTGTTAATTTCAAATTGTCTTAAATTCAGTTTGTTTGTTTTTAATTCCAGATCTGAAAACTGAGCTTTTTCCTGTCTGTTTTTGCAAATACAGAACCGGAGAATAAAAATGGGAACTCCTGGATCAGGACGGAAGAGAACTCCAGTGAAAGACAGGTTTTCTGCAGAAGATGAAGCTCTGAGTAGCATTGCCAGAGAGGTTTGTTAATTTCAAATTGTCTTAAATTCAGAAATAAGGATGAAAGTGATCTCATTATCCAGAAAAAGTTAATCTTTTTAAACTGTGCATTGAAAAGTGTAATTAGCCAAAAATATAACAATTAATACAAACTAAGAGTATTTTCAATCAGAAAATAACATTTACTGAAATGTTGTCACAATGATATATTAATTGTACAATTAATGTAACTTTGTAGGATCACACTTAAGCTGAGCAGATATTTCTACAGAGTTATATGCTTAGCTAAAGATAAATAAGAAATCCAGTTGCTATCTCAGGTCTAAAACTAAAAAAAAAATCCCCATTTATCCCATTGCAGTGTGTAGTATTCTTAATATGGTAAGTATAGTGTATTAACGTTGAATGAGTAACAGTCACTATTAAAAGGTATTTGTAATATATTTCAAATGTGAAAAGTTACATTTCTGTCAAAATAAGCCTAATATGTACACTATACCAGGACTTTCTTAAGAGTCACCACCTGAAAAAGAGAGCTGGAGGTAACCAGCTAAAAATGCAGTTAACAAGAAGTTGATACAAAGGGGAGTTTTGTATACAAAGGGGAATTTTGTCCCACTGGATATAGGAAGGATATACAGATATCTATTTGGACTTGAGTTTTTCTGGGAGGAAATGCTGAGACTTGTATACAAACAGTACTAAGGCTTTTGTTTCCAAGTGATACAGAAGCTTTGAGATACGCTATCTACAAAGCTGCTCACCCTAGTTGACATAAATAAGTGCAAAATGCAGTTTCTAACTGGCCTTGTAATGTAAACTGTTGCCTGTATGTGTATAGTATATATACATATGTGCATATGTAAGACAAAATAGGTAGGTGATAGGTCTTTGAAAACACAGCTTCTGTATGAATTTTCAAATGTAGCCATCATAGACTGTAGGCAAAGGAAATGCTCTGTCAGCAAAAAAATAATTTTTTCATTTAGTTGGTAACTTTCCAGAAAGCTATGTTCACACCAAATCTAATGGAAGTTCTCGCCCTACCAGATACGTTCTGTGTGGGACTTTGGGTCGTGTACAGTCTCACTCATCAAGTTCTGTCTCCCATTTTTGGGGAAAACACTTAACAAAGGAGAAGGAAACTGGCTTTAAATTTCTCTCGAGTATCTCTGCGTGGTTCCAGTACAGTAACATCAGCTTGCAACTTAGCCTAGAAAAAAAGGTCTCAATAGCAAGGTGTAATAAGTATTATCTTACTTAAAATTACTATGGGGCTTTGTTCTCTTACATTGCTAACCACCTCAATTAAAATTAGAGCATGAGTGTAAATTAAACAAAAATGAAAGGTTTTTTCCCCCTTAATGCTGAATTAAACTAATACTAGGTCTCACAGCTAGAGGTCTGTGTAGGATAAGCTGGCCCTTAGATCCCATGTCAGATAGCAGCTGTTGTCATGGAATTGGTAGCTGTAATTCATAGTATTAGCCAACTTATTCTAAGGAAAACTTTTGCTTTAAAGGAACAGAATGCATTTCTTGGGATATAACAGCAGAGGCCAGTTAACAAAACTAAGTTGTCTTTAAATAACATCTGATCTTAGTGTGCCATACATATGCCTTATCACTTGAGGCTGGGGAAAAGTTTTCAGTTACCATGTTGACATAGGGCATGCCAGTTCTCAGTGCGTGAATATATGGAGTAGGTCTACTTTACTGTTCTGAGGCCATTATCTCAGCAACATGGCTTGCTTGTATTTTTATTGTCAAAGGATGTTTTGTTCTTCAACTTCCTCTTCTGAAATTACCTTTTTAGCAGATGTTACTTACAATAGTTGAATTGAGTCCTGTAATCCAGAAGTCAGATGTGTTGTGAGGAAAATGTTCTTAAAAGGTGTTCTAGGTATCAAGAGATGGTAAACAGAATATGCTGAAACAAAAGGCTGGCACTCAGGATGATCTGCGTGGAAAAAAAACTGCATAGAAGTGCTCTGGGATTCAGAGCAGTCACAAAATGGCACTAGGAATTATCAGAGTTTGTAATACTAGCAAAGACTTCTAGCATAGTGTATGAAGCTTGAGGGTTTTTGCCTCCAAAAGTTCAGATTTCAGAAAGCACTAATCTTATTCTTTCTCACCACTCTAATTTGACAAAATTGAGATTTCCTTCTTCTATGGGACATGTCAAAAAAAGTGGCGTCTTCCTTTTGCTACCAATAAACATCTGCTTTCTAGGAAATTTTGTGTCAAGAATTCTTTGGTACTGATCCAATAAATTAATTTCTATATAGTAATTTTTTTGCACTGGTTGAATCTGATGTGTCATCTTATGAAAATATTTAATGGAAGACAAGGGCACTATTATAGGATCTGAGGGGCTATGTCAAACTACTTCCTTGTGAGATTTCTTTCATTTTTTCCATCTTTCCTCTGCATCAGAAAACTTTTCCTCTGCTGGTTGTGTCTCCTCCCCTTCACTTCTTGTAGCACTAGCACTGTTATGCAGAGAGTTCTTTCATATCTTTTTCCTTGCTGTGGGAGTTTGCATTGAGACAAGCTCTTCTGCAATGCCTCTGCACTAAACAAGGCACAAGTATGCTAAAACTTCAATGTTTAAGTGAATTACTGCCTTATTCCAAGAACTTCTGAGTTACCAGACCTCTTTCTTCAGGACCTACTTGTATTCTGTTGTGTGTTATCCTTCCTGGCATTGAATTCCCTGTGCTCCTTGAAACTGAGGAAGAGTAAAGGTGATGTAGGTTTCCAGGGACAGGGATCTATGCATCCTTTTCTGGAAGCAATGCGTTCTCCATATTATTCAGTGTCTTAAGTGAGATTGGTTGCAGTTGATCAGTTTGGAAGTCTTACCTTGGTACAACAGGGAGGATTACCAGTTTATCGTGTCTGTTTCAAAAGCTGTAGAAACAGGTGGTAGGTTATGTTGTCCAGGTGTTCCCTGCAAGGAGAAAAGGAACTCCAAGTGTAAATGCACCCAACTACATTTTAGTGGAGTATTGGCAAGTGTCATCCGATTATAGCAAGGTTAATTTGAAGTCAGCTAGTCTCTTATTTAAAAAAAAAAAAAAAGCCCCTCTCCTGAAAATATGAAGAGAAAAAAAAAAAAAAAAAAAAAAAAAAAA